AAAAAAAGTGGTCTAAGTTACCCCATTTTACGGTACTATAAATGACAAATTGGTATATAAACTTGTTGCCTTTAGTGTGTATTAGGTTCCAATAAATTGAATGTTTTTGGTACAGAGGCATCAAGTGTGCAATACATTGTACGTAGCTAGCAGCTTAGCTAATTCTTATAAGGCTACAAGTAGTCTTTAACTATTTGACCATTTGCTATATATTGATTACAATATACAATTTAAATGTGTTAGCTAGCTTATACAGGGTGGGGCAGAACTGATTGAACAGTTTTGGGGCGAAATAAAAGAGTAATGGAGGTACATAAAGAAGAAAGTTTATTTTCCTTAAGATTAGCATAACATATCATATAAAATGCTTATGTTTTGCAAACAATATCAGGAAAATGGTGTTTGTCAGCTGCATCACACTGTTGGAGTTGTTCTCGGAAGTTTTCTACAGCAAGTTCACACATGGCGAGGTATGGCCATAACCTCTACTGCAATAATCTGTTTCCTTAGCTGTGGTAGGGTGTGAGGGCAATTTCTGAACTTCTCTTTTAGATGTCCCCAAAGAAAGAAATTGCAAATGCTCAAATCAGGTGACCTCACAGGCCAGTGTAAATCACCCCTCAGAGACACCAGACCTCTGGGAAACATGTGTTTCAAAACATTGGGTGACATTCAGGCTGTGTGAGCTGTAGCCCCATCCTACTGGAACCACACGTCTCGCAATGCTTCATTTTCAACAATGTTTTCCATCATGGGCTGCAAGAAATTTTACAACATTGCAGCATAGCGATTGGAATTCACTATCACGGTTACTCCCTCCTCCGAAAATGACTCCAACAGTGTGTTGCAGCTAATAGCCCTCATCTTCCAGATATTGTTTTCAAAACATTAAGTATTCTAAATGGTATGTTATGCTAACTTTTAGGAAAATAAACTTTCTTCTTTATGTACCTCCATTACTCTTATTTTACCTCAAAACTGCTCAATCGGTTCTCCCCCACCCTGTATATTGAGAGGTTGAGATTGTATTGACCTTTTAGGCAATTAGAAAGATTTTACACCCTAATAAAAGTATTCTTATAAAAATATTTAATTTCAATCTTTAAATATGTGAATTTAAAACTAGAAACAAAACAATTACAATTATAAGACTATATATAAAATAATTAAATGCAGTGAATGGATATAAAATATTTGAATTGTGCACATGTTTATTACAAACAGTATTAGATTTTCTCATAACTCAAGTCTCGTTTCAAGTCGTATGAGGTTTGTTTGGTTATCGTTTAGTTTACGTTTAGTATTGGTTTATTGGTCTGAATAAAATGGGAACAGTGCAGTTAGTCACTCAGTCACTATAAGTCAGAGTGTATAGAGGGTAGTCTGGTAGATTTATAGGTTATAAAACTAGTAGATCTAATGATAGTGCAGTGCACTGTGCCATCAGCTACAGTCACTACTAGTTGATGTGTATAGAGGGTAGAGTCTGGTAGATTTTTAGGACATGAAACTAGTGGATCTATTGATAGTGCTGTGCACTGTGCTATCAGCTACCTATCTGTTATGTGACTCTTTCAATGTTTAGAAGATCTGCATTCCTGAAGTGTTTTTGTATATTGAAGCCAGTTGAATGGTCAATATTTAGCTTATTACCTTGCTCCATACAAACTTACGAAGCTAATGAATAGATATAGTACCAATAATTGTTTACCCAGAAATCCCTATGTGGTTTACACCACCTTGGCCTGTTGGCCAGTATTGAAGGCAATAAGTGCCCTTTTTAGCCATCCATTATGATCCATATACTGTTATTGTTAGTAGGCTAATTGCAACATAAAAAATAACACTTCAAAAAGACAAAAATGTTGAAAAAATAAAAAAAAATCAAATAAATAAAAAAAATCATAAAAAAATAAAAAAATCATTGATTTTTTATTTTTTTAATTAAAAAAAAATCAAAAAAATCGCCAACCCTGGTCCAGTCAGCTGATGTCACCAGCAACAGCTAGCATGGCCTCCTCCAAACCATCATAGAACACAGTTTTTAGAAAAAAAATGTGCTTTTCCATTAATATTTGCCTGTCAAGATTAAGTACCATATTAAACCACAACATGTATTTGTAGCAAAAATCATTTCAATTGCCAAGCTCCAATCAGAATAGTAAAAGGATACGTCTCAAGTTATTATATAAATGTATGATGGTAAGCCAAAGTTTACACCACATCAATAATTGATTTTTCTCGTTAAAATGGCTATAAATTCCGGGAAATTTCAAGCTACCTATTTTAACACGTTGGCTGCAATGTGTGCCATATAAGTACATGCTGTACTTCTCAGAATCGTGATGTGTACACATGTGGTGCATTCATATGAAAAATACATATTTTTATAAAATCTTATTACTCTTTCAAATTTAAAGTTTCAATGATACAATTAAATAGGCATGTTAGGGAATGCTTTGAAGTCGACTACTGCTTAGAGAAATAGCTTTAATTTCAAATGCAAGTAATACAAAAATTACAAAATTTGTATCCATTGATCTTTGTATGAAAATAAAATAAAATATTTTCTTGTTGATCTGAAACTACAAAATTGGGTGTTGCCAACATCATTATATTTCATAAGTGATTGAAAAACAATTATCGCACATGTATGACTTTCCTTCAGTCACCAATGTATTTTTTTACCCTTTGAGTTTCACCTTTGCTACGCCGCCACTATGCAGAGAGAGTGGATGAATATTGCAAGATCTTTGGCGACGCTTCAGTAGCAAAATTTATGCCTTCAGAGTATCTTGCCGACACATTTAGATTGAAATTCTTGCATTTAATATATTTGTCAGTCTTCGGCCAACTATTTAAAAAAAGTAAGGTTTCCGATATGTTGGATGGATCAGCATCCAGCTTGTCCAGAAACCAGTTGTGATGAGTTCCTGCCAAAAAAGTGTAAACAGCAAGCTTACGATTACGTAGTTGTGGTCACATTAGAGCAGTCAGACAAAATTATCACATGTTCAGTTGACACTTGCTGTAAAATCATACTGTTTTAGGGTAAAATTAGTCATTTGGGGTAATACGTGCATGCAACCTAGTAAATAAGTTCGTGGCTTGTAAATAGTTTTTCATTACTCAGTGTAAATGGCTTTTCATTAAAAATTACCCGGCGACGCATCTTAAAATTACCCGGCGACGCTTAGGGCTTAAAATCCCATCTATTGGCTACGCTGCAACCACCCTCTGCGCCCTGGTGCTACGGCACTTCCTTCATTTGCTCAGTATGTTGTAGCATTCATGGCAGCGCATCCTGGTTTTAGTTCTAGTTGGTTCAATGAAAGTGGGTTGTCCTCTGCGTCACTCAATAATTTGAGATATACATCCTGATTTTACTCTCTCTGAGTGGCTGCTTGTAACAGAAGCTCAAGCCAATATATACAATGAATGATCTATATAAGGCAAATATAACTGAATTAACAATGTAAATACCCTCAATTTTATTCAGGGTTATGAAAATCTGGACACCAATCTCTTTCCATAGTAATTTCCATGTGCAATAGACATTGTTTACAAAAACCTAAGAGATAGGTAGTCATAATGTATGCAATTATGCATACATTATTTTTGAGTCATAATGTGTGCAATTATGACTCAAAACTAATGTAGATTACTTGCGCGCATCACTCACAGTAATAAAAGTGATAACTTTAGGCGTTTTTTGGCAATATGAGCCATAGATGCATTTCATTGCTTGATACACATTGCCCACAGTATTAGAAGTGATTACGCTAGGTGACGTGCGCGAATAGGAGCCACAACAGGCATGGCTTCACTTGGTACACATCGCCAGGAATAATGACAAATTTTAACCCTGAGCGATGTGCACCAAATACAGTCACCAATTTTACGTGACACAATGACAGAACATACCCTTGCAGAGCTGCACACAACTTTTCTCCTTGCTATCTGTCAGGTAACTGAGTTACATACAAGTTTGAACCTATTGCCAATACAAGTTTGAACCTATCGCCCGTACGGCAATCAGGCCAAATCAGCAATCGTGGCCAACGTGCTAACCACTAACCAGGATGTCTTGTATGTTGTATTGCCCCAGAATTCCTATGGAGGGCTGAAAGTTGTCCAGGTTTTTATTGCGAACCGGGACAGAGCCTGTTGTCTTGTCTTGTCTCGGATAAAAAAAAAAATACCAAATGCAGCAGTCTACTGTGGAGCCACAAAATTTCATTCATCAGTAAGAAAATTCAAATTAGCATTTATGGCCTTTTTTTCATTCATAGTAGGTAAATGAGATAGATGGGGCAATTTAGCCAGCAATTTTTAAAAATTAGCCATAGGCTAAGCCTACCTAAAACAAGAGTTTTTACATGCAATTTTTATAAAATTCTGCTTATTATTCCAGATTTATAAACAAGAGCACTAACTTACAAGTTACAAAATTTCAGAAAAAATCCAATTTCATAACTTGTTCCAAGTTTTTTACCATTTAACTTTAATAATTCAAGGTGTTGCATTCCAGAAAGAACAAAACATCTTCATGAAATTAAATTTAATATAATACTATTTTATTGAATGTTTACTACAAGTTTTGACATTACTTAGCAGTTAGTAGAAGCTTTCACTTTTCAGCACTAACAATTTAATGAAGGACCCTCAACTGAGTCTATGCCCTCAAGGAGTAAATGGAATGGACCATCAGAACTTCATAAGTTCACATTGTCATTAAAAAAATGAAGGTCGCAAGAAATGCTTCAATTAATGAAGGATTGCTGGTCATGCCGTCATGGGCGTTAACTCAGCCAAATGCCAATACCTACTTAACAAATACAGTTAATAGCCTAACAACTGCAATTAATTCATGCATCATGCATGCTGTAAAGAAAACGTTTCTTGACCTCAATCGAATATCATGACATGCGATAATGTCATGCCTAGCATGCTAGCCCTAGCGATCTCATAAACAGAAAATTTTTGCTAATAAAGGATACGATAGGTTGCACCATAACCTTCTGCACTTTGGGTTTTCCTGCGTACGACATGTTGATTAATCAATGTATAAAGATCTTTCTGAACACGTTGAAGTTGCAACAGCCTGAACAGGAGTCTGAAGTTGTCGATTCGTTTGCTGCCGGGAAAAAACGCGCTGGGATTGGCTCATCCACACAGGGCTATTGCCATACTACTTTTCTTCTACACGAGGTAAGAAAATAAGTCAGAGATCTGGCGGTAGTTTATCGAATGAATTTTGTTTGAGCATGAGTGTGATATTTGGGAACCAACTTCGAAACGTTAAATTTTTCAATAAATAAATATGAAATAATTTATCAACACGATACAATCGCCCAGCATTCTGAGTTAGCGATGGAAACGCCTTTGAATTGGTAATCTACATTTCCCCGGCCGGTTTTGCAATTAGAATAGAATTGAAGTGTCGGCATTGAAAAAAATAGGCCCATGGCCTGTTGCCGATTCTTGAATTTTTCGTGACTTGATTCACAAGGGATCCGGCCTTTTCAACCCGATCTTTCCATAACTGACGATTGATTGAGATAGCTGCTGGACTTATTGCCTGGTCCGTAATTTGCTAGGCTTTATAATTAAGACTGAACATATGCTCCTGCATAGCTTCGTCTAGTCTGTTTTTGAAGGCGTTCATACTCGGAGCGTCAACGATGCTATCAGTATCAGGGAGGCTGTTCCACATGTCGGTGACTCGAAGCGAGAAGAAATTTTGTCGCATCGATGTGTTATAACGCAGTTTTTTATAGCCGTGGCCCCTGGTGTTGGTTCTTGTTTCAAATTCTAGTAATCATTCTGGGACCTTGTATAAGCCATGAGTATACTTGTATGCTTCAATGAGGTCCCCACGAAGACATCGATAACTGAGGCTTGGACGCTTCGTAATAATCTTTAATCTTTCCTCGTAGGACTGGCCTTTCAAGCCCGGAACTATCTTTGTTGCACGTCTTTGAACACTCTCTATTAAATTTTTGTCCTTTTCAGATTTCAGTGACCACACGACGTTTCCAAACTCTAGGTTCGGGAGCACGATAGTAACAAAAAACTGCTTCGTCGCTTCTGCATCTAAGAACTCGAAGGAGCGTCTGATCAGTCCAAGTCGTTTATTGGCTTTATTAACTTGACCTTCAAAATGCTTGGAAAATTTCAACTCATTGTCGATATTAACTCCTAAATCTGTTTCCATTGTCGACTTCGACATCATCACTCTGTCGTTGCAACCGTGTCTTCTCATACTGTAATCTTGCTGTTCATTATTCATGCCAAGGTGTATAACTTTACAGCGTTAAAACGCAGCTGCCACTTATCAGCCCAGCCAACCAGCCTGTCAAGATCACCTTGCAACTGTACTTTTTGCGACGTATTCTTCACTGTATTATAAATTTTTGTGTCGTCAGCATACATCGAGAAAACGCTAGACACAGCTTCTGGCAGATCGTTTCAACGCAACGAACTATGAGCACGAACACTTGGAAACATTCTTCTTGTATTTTCCAGATTCCGAATTAGTTCACATTTCACAAGATACAATGCAGAACAGGCAGCTCTGTGACATTTTTTTTTTGTTCACAGTGCTATATTTTCTTTTGAACAAACCATTGTATTTTTTCGTACAGCCTCTTAACCTATGAAATATATGAAATTGAAATAATGTTTAACAAAAACTTGTAAACAAGGTCTACCAGTGAAATATGAAAAAATTACGCGCAGTATTTTCTACACATAACGTTAGGTCAGATCCATTGAGCTCGCCATGTACGACGCTTAGTGACGTCGAGCGCATCTTCCTTGATTGGTATTCTAGCGGCAATTGGTCATTTTATTCTTGATTGTTATTCTAGCGGTTAATTGTATTCTTGGTTTTCTTTTACGACTATTGCAGAGGAATTACAGACAGCGTGTTGACATGGTCAAGAACCGTTCATATATTTGGGGCATGCATGAGCACTGTTCTAATTTTAAAGACAGAGAAATTAAAAATATTCAAACTCAAAATACTCGACTAGCGAGAAACTTCACAAATATTTGAGCAGAATAATAATTTTTTTATTGCCTAATATCAGGATGCCGTTTCCAAATTCTGTTGCGTAATTAAATGGTCCGCTGTGGTCACCACGGATTAATTTGGATCGGTTCGTATCTTGACACAAGAAAATTCTACATGCATTTATCTTGGCTAATGTCAGAACGAAAAAAAATAATGGAACTGCGTTGGTCGCATATTTATTATCACTTCTACATTTACGTTATGTGCATTATAACAAGGGTTAATTAAATAACAAGTTAATTCGACACTTACTTCATTATCAGTAAGCTTACATTATTATCTCTGAAAATGTTACAAGTGTGACGGAACACAATTTTTGTGGATTATTTTTTTTTTGAGAACATTGTTTCGCTTCTAATTTAACTGAAGGATTTAATTTATGTATGACTAAGCAATGCGTAAACGAATATTTATTTCGTGGCCGTAATATGGAATCTTGTCTAGCTGTGGTGTTTGTAGGATTTAGTGTCTTGGAACGAGACAAGGTGTAGCTCCAACGTGATTGGTCGAGCTGCTCCTAACCTAGTTATAACGCGCGCTAGGTAGTCGTGATTGTGAACGATGGAGAGTTTGGTATCTTTGGAATTAGTTTAAGATTACTAGATTTATAACTGTGATTAGATTGCCAAATGATTACAAATATGTTAACTTTATTGTATTATATTATATTATATTATCTATTTTTTTTGCACTTAAGAAGTGTTTAGTCTGTTTTGTATATTGTAAACGGGGTGTTGAGGTAAGCTCATTTGGCTGAGTTACCCCCTTGTTGTGTGCGCTCGGAAGTTGTGTGTGCCCAGTGGCGCTGGGTTGGGGTGACACGGTTTCGACTCTAATCAGGCTGAGCCAAATTTGGGCTTCAAAAAATAAATTCCACCTCAGTCCTGGGCATAACTCTTAATGAGTTCCTCTAACGGAGTAATAACGGCGTAGGTGTTCTTGGATAGTTCCAGGTTTTTGCTGCGTTGGGCGGTTAACAGCCGTTCAAATCGCACCCTCGAGGTAGAGGCTAATAACCTCTGCGCTCGAGTTAATTGTCAGCGGCTTATTGGGGCTAGTACCCTCCAATAGTCGTGCTTTTGATGCGTAACTGCCACCCTGTTCCTGTGTGGTTGTTAGCATCTCGGTGCGGTTAGTTCCCGACGATCCCGTACGATTTGCTGTCCATCTTTGTGATTCTTGGCAGTGTATTAGTAATTAGGGCTAGGACCCCTAGTCTGCATCTCGGTGCGGTTAGTTCCCGTGCCATTTGCCGTTCATCTCCGTGTTCTTGGCAGTCTATTAGGGCTAAAACCCCTAGTCTCTGCGGCTGCTCGTTGGCATCCTTGGTGCGGTTAGTTCCCGTACCATTTGCTGTACGATTTGGTGATTTGGCAGTGTAATAGGGCTAGAACCCCTAGTCTCTGCGGTTCGTTGTCGGCATATCGGTGCGGTTAGTTCCCGTACCATTTGCTGTACGTTTTTGTGAGTCGGCGGTGTATTAAGGCTAGAACCCCTAGTCTCTGCGGTTCGTTGGCGGCATCTCGGTGCGGTTAGTTCCCGTACCATTTGCTATCCGTTTGTGATTTCGCGGTGTATTGGGGCTAGAACTCCTAGTCTCTGCGGCTGGTCGTGGCATCTTGGTCCGGTTAGTTCCCGTGCCATTTGCTATCCATTTTATTATTCGCAGCTGTGTATTAGGGCTCATACTGTGTGGTTTTTCGGCTGTTTGTATCCCTGAAATGTCAAACCTTTTTCCGCGAACTTTTGGATTAAGAAGAATAACAAATGTGCGCCTTGTGTGAAGAAACTTGTATTTGCCTGCAGATTACCAGTATACTACGAAAACTTCATCGTGTTCATTACTCCTTTCTACATACAACGCAAGGGAATTTAGAGCCGGACCAATGAGCGACTCTTTAGCCCTTGTGTTTAGGATCAGAACGAAAGTTACCAAGTCGGCACGCTACCCGTAAATATTTCAAATTCGCGGCGGTGTTTCCGGTTACACAAGTTACACGGATATACGGAGAAATGACTGGCATTTCTCAAGCCGATTTTAAAATTTGCATTGAAATAGAGTAACTACGTAGGTATACGTAAAGCCGCATAACTCGCTAACGAAGGCAAAATCGAAAAAATGTCTGGAGCTAATCATCACCGATGAAAGGTTAGGTATTCATTTACAAAGTTTCGTTCAAATCTGTGCAGTATTTTAGAAGACGTTTCTTGTTCTATGTGAATTTAAGCATGTATTGTTATCCCGAATGAGGGAAGAATAAAAAAAACTCGCAAACAAAGGCATATATAAAAAATTTTCACAAGCTAAACATCACCGTTGGATAGTTAAGAATGTATATTAAAAATTCTGTTTAAATCTGTTCAGTGCTTTGGGAGAAATGTCTTGTTCATTGCGAATTTTGGCACGTGTCGCCGCATAACTCACGAATGAAGGTGAAATTCATAAAATTTTCACGAGCTAAATATCACCGTTAGGTCCTAATGATTACGTGTACCAAGTTTCATCGAGCTACGTCCATTACTTAGAGAGATATTCATTGTTCAGTAAATTTGGGAAGACCGGCCGCGAGTCCGGCCGTAAAATTGTAAAATAACACTTTATAAAATTGTCCGAGACCTCAAGCACTTAATTTTCGTTAAGAAAGTCCGAGGTTATGTCTTGCAAATAAGTTCCTATGAGTATCTGTGCCACGTGCAAGGCGTCGGGCAATTGACCTGATTCAATAATTTTGAACTCGTCCAGAAGGCGCATAACACGATTAGCTTCCCGCCATCTAAGGATCGCTACCCTATAATTTCACTTTACAGTAATCGCGACGCTGCAAGTCTCGGTACTTACTTAAAATTCTAAGTGCCGAGAATTGTTGGGGCTTGTTGCTTGGGTTCCTCATTATGATTTCTTAACAGACTTTTTAAAAGAAAGACGTTTGTAACGGCTGGGCCTACCGCTAACAGTAGCACGCAGCCAGCATTAATCGGTCCCTGGATCGGGGGCGGAATTTCCATCGAGGGGGATTGATGGAGCTTAGGTTTAAGTTCGTCAGTTTCTTCGTTGGCTACTGTGGAGAGGTTGACTCACGTGCAGCTGCTACGCAGATATTGCAGTACGTCGAGTAAAGAAAACTTGTTTGTAAGCAGGGCTGAAAACTCTGTAGCCTGTAGGACAATTCAGAGGCAATAATTTCTTTATCAATCTTTCACGAATATGCCACTCGTGGCATACTTATATTTAGTTCATATGCCACTCGTGGATGGATCCCACCATTGTTGCTAGTTGGTCAAACATCAATTGTAGAGAGAATTTAGACTTGATAACAAATCAGTAAAGCGATTGAGAGTAATAATATTATCACTATAATAATAGTAGAAGCTCACGAAATGTGATGAGTTTCGAATTCACTAAGGTACCAATTTCTACACATGAAATGTATTAGTACGATTGATTAATTCTCGTAGATTTCCTTCCACATCCCTTGTATCGAGCTGAACTTCTAAGTGAATTGAGACTTGTCTTCATCGACGAGGATGAAAACTAGATTGAGTATTATAGGTACGGTATTTATATAAACCTCCGAATTTAAATAAATTTTTTTACAACTGAAACAGATTTGGAATTTCCTTCGCTATTTTACGTAAACATCGTTCGAAAATGATCCAATACAATGGAATATCAGCCTCAGTGTTGGTGATCTGCTTAGTACTTCTAAATTTAGTCAGCATAGCGGTGTCAGCATCTGCCCGTCCGTCTTCTGCATTGCAGCAATGTTCCGCACCTAAAGAGCGGATGCGAAAAGCTCTTTCTGTGGACCATCCGCACATCAGGAAAAAGAGAACTATTCAGGTCCCGAAAGGCACTGGATTTGAGGTAATGATTTCTAATTATATCTCTGTATAGATATAAATGTTATTATTTTCTTTTGATCATAACAATTTAATAATAATTTTGCAAAACGCATATATATCCAGATAATATAGTTAGGACACTCAGTCACTCACATGCGTTCATATTGTATTGCATACAATTTGTAACAAAAATATACAAAGTGAAATCTCTCTCAGAGTCTTTCGTCATGAGGTTATTCAAATGATCACATAGAAATTATTAATTCATTTATCGATGCTCTGATATTCTTTTGTGGTTGGACTTGATGAAATTTCTCTGCACAGTGCAAATGGGCTCTCAACATGCCGTTCGAAACGCAGCGTCGTTACAATGCCAAGCTACAAATGGCAATTCCCATCATCATCAATATTCCGGCGATCTATTTCGAGAGATATGGTCTCGAGAAACTCAAAGGCTTCGTGGAAGATGAAGAAGATGAGAAAATTGAGAAAATAGACACTCCAGAAAAGGTAATGTAAATTTGCTTCTTTCAAGGAAATGAAAAATCGAAAACCAATGTTTGCCGTGTCGACATTCGCCGGACATATATTTTTATTCACGCTATAAATATTAAGGAGCGAAATAGAACTAAACGGGCATGATGGCTTTAGAAGTACTAATGGATTTTTACTGATGGCAGGACCAGGGGGCAATGATCCATACTCCTGAGCAAGCGTACAATGAAGAGCCTCTGCCTGCCCACCACTACATCCAGAAGCGAGACGCAGTGATCTCGAACTATTCAACCATAGTACAAGAAGAACGACTTTATTTTTATCGAATCATCGAAGGACTTCTTGATAAGTGAGTGAAACTTTAATGCGTTAAGATTCGCTTTAGGACGATATTTGGCTGCGCACGACGCGATAAAAAACATTGGAGCCTTCCCAAAAAGTATTTGACCAGTTAAAGAAAATAATGACAGTATTTATAAAAATACAGTATTTACGAAACGAAAATTCCAGAATTAGCTTCACATTATTCGCTATATATTGATTAAAAATTAGCTACACTTTATTCGCTATATATTGGTTTTGGGACTGCAGGTTGGGACTGCCATCGAAGGACTGCATGCTGCGCACAGTGTGCGAAGTGGCACGTGATCCCATAGAGTATGGGCTGTACGGAGATTTGTTCAACATGCTAATGAGGTGAGTTCAATTAGCTAACTGCATAATTTTATAATATCTAGTGCACCATTTATCATGTTCATGAGGTTACTTAAATATAATTGATCCTAATTCTAACTTATTGTGGTTAGAATGCCTTACATTTAGTAGTTCTAAATCCAAGCCCCATCTTCTTTTCAGCCCAACAATGACATCATTGTTGGCATCCCAGGACGGAGGCTACGTGGACGAAATTGTTGCATACGTTCGGGCCGAAAAAGTCGGCCACATAACCGGTCGTTGCCACGACGAATACGAAATTTGTCCTGTGTCCCTCTTTGACTTGCTGCCTTTGGTAGTCAATAACATATTCTCTTCCGCGTAGAGTTACTTAGAACTGCTTCAGCTCAATTGCATTTGCATTCAACGTTATTAAAGCTCTTTTAAGATATTTTCTTCATTGATCGGTTCTGTTTTGGCCCGTACTCGATCTGTTGTATTCTAGACTACACTTTTTTTGTGTTCTAGCCCGCACTTAATTGTTTTCGGGCCTGCGCTCGATCTGTTGTGTTTTGGCCCACTCTCTGTCGACTTCTGGCCCGCTCTGTATTCTAGTATGCAAGATTCTGAATCACTTTGAGTACCTGACCGGGTCAGAAAATTTCAGTTATCGCTGCGAGTAAAGTGACGCCATTGAAACCTGAATCTGGTTTGTATGATTTTTCATGCAGCTTACAATCGAAACCCTACCGGTTGTATCATGAATTGGTGCCAAGAACTTCAAAGCTCAATAAAATTATTAACATGTCCCCGTTTTTTTCAATTGTGTAAAGCAATGGCAGATATTTTTATTTAAAAAAGTACAGTATTAAAGAATACAGTAAAGTACAGTAATTCTTAAGAATACCCTAGATGTCTTGAAAATTACAAGGTACACAATGTACAAAGTCTGAAACGGTTGATTCTCCATGTTCAGAAAGTTGCCAATAACAATCATTGTTATGTGCACAATGCTATTGAACGAAGACAAATTTATCGTTCATAACTGCTTTGTGTGTCACTCAAAGCTCTGTATCATTTCTATGTGTACTCATAATTGTGGTCCACATATTGGCAATACTCGCGGCACATACTGGCTACATGGCGAGCTCAATCATACAGATTGAGCTCGCAATGCAGGGCACTTAGTGACGTCGAGCGCATCTTCCTTGATTAGTATTCTAGCGGCAATTGATCATTTTATTCTTAATTGTTATTCTAGCGGCTAACTGTAGTATTGGTTTTCTTTTTCGTTTATTGCAGGAGAATTATAGAGTGTGTTGGCATGGTCAAGAACCATTCAAATAATTGGGGCATGCATGAACACTGTTCTTATTTTAAAGACACAGAAATTAAAAATACTCGAATTTCGCAATATTAGACATGAATGACAGACGACTTGACAGAAACTTTACAAATATTTGAGGGCGTGAAAATTTTTTTGATTGTCTAATATTGCGATACCGTTTAAATTATATTATTTAATTGAAAGGTCCGCTTTGGTCGCCACACATCAATTGGGATGGACTAGATTCTTGACACAAGATAAATTCTACATCATCTAGTTTAAAAAAATGCTAATGTCAGAAGGAACAAAATGGAACTACGTTGGTCGCATATGCATTATCAATTCTACGTTTACGATATGTGCCTTATAGCAAAGGAAAGTTAATTTGACGCTTATTTTATTATCAGTTGTTGTCTCACTATTTTTATTATTTTTTAGCCTCTGAAAATACTTATATAACGAAACATAAAGCGTCATCTGCTAATTGGGTTCTGTTGAATTCATCATTAAAGTTCGTTTTGTTTCCTTGCCTAACATATTTTTGAAGGCAATTAACGAGGGACTATAATAAGATACTTTACGGCCTTCTTCAACTCGTAATTGAGTAAGTTCAAGTGTGAGTCTCCCGCCAAATTTTATGTGCATAGAAGACAGTTGCGATTGTATATGCTACAGAAATTATTGTATATTGTATTGTATAACGCTACTTCTCCCTCAGTCACGTTATGCAATATAGCAACTACTAGACCTGAAACAAAACATTGCACTATTTTGTTACTGTATTTCAATCAGCAAACAGAAACGTTCGCATTACAATTTTTAGACGAAGGGTTTGCTAATGAGCAATTGGTAGTATTAAAGGTACAAAATGAAGGTGAAATTCGATGTCGGTTCATGAATATTAGAATCCCAGATTCTTTATCGGGAGTTGATTCTTCCTTGTACTTCCGGAACCATCCTAATCTTTCTGATTTCAGATGAGCATTTTCAATGCTTATCCCAGTTAATAATTTAGCGTGAATTATGCATGAATTTTTGTTCCATTACATTAAATGCGGCGCTCAGATTATGGAAATAACTTTTTTCACCATAATATTTGAAGGTTTTTAGAATCTAAAATCTGATTTACAATAGATAAATCTATTCTGAATTTTATTCAAAAATTCTTTGGAAAATTATTTTATTCAGAAATTACTTGGCCTAGAATACTTTTGATCACATGTCGTGCAGAAGCTAAATTTTTACCAAGATAACAAATTCATCGCACGTGTGAGCCCGTTTATTTATCAACCGTAAGTGGGTACTACTCAGCATTCTTAAGTGACTCAACTACGTTGAACTCGAACCTCATCAACACTAGATTTATTGTTAAAATTCAAGTATGATACAAGTGATATTTATAAACATAACGGAAATGATCATGAAAACGCTGACTTCAGTCCGGAAGACTGTAAAACTCATGAGTTTGAAATATCTTCGCCAACTAAGTTTTGTCTCTTCAATAGAAAAATCCGAAGCTTTGGAGGACTGGTATTTGAGAAATCCAATGACTTCTTGTGATTGAAAATCCATGAAACAAATCAAAGTTTAATTAAACAATACGATATTTCCTCGGTCTTCAAAATGTGTGTGTCAGCTATTTTGTGTAGCTGTGTAAATTGAGAGTAGCTGTAGTCTGCAGAAATTGTGTCGCAAATGGCAGGCAATGTCACTGTCCATGGATGCATCGATTAAGCTCTACCTGAGGATCGGGGTACGTGACCAAGGTCGTGAAGGATAAGTTAGACACAACTGTCTATACTGTATAACATATCTTGATATACGAGGTGGTTATACATGAGTTACGAATTACGATACAGTAAGCAACGGCGTCGACCGTGAGGTCGGAGAACTCAACAGACGCATTACATCGCGGAGCGCTTATCAACATAACTGCGGGGGCTCATACTAATGTTACTAGCCCTTCTAAAGCCTTCGCTTCCGCCCACAACTAAGGTCTTGATCGCGTGATCTAACACGTGATGTCTCCCAGATGCTGACTCATGTCATCAATCTCTATCAGGTCTAGTGAATATTACGTCTCAATAACATATTATTATAATGAGACGCCAGATTGACACCGGACATTACGGAAAAGGCTGCTACAGCACGGCAGTGCAAAATCTTGATTGCTCAAAGCTCAGTTCAAAAGAGCCGAGTTCGTTTTTCAATGGCGATAATATATAAGTTTTTACGGACCAACAGGCGATCCTTATTACCATATTCTCTATGGAAATGTGATATGTTCAATGAAAATTAGAGCAAATTTAGGTGCAAGATTCATTTTTCCCTTTCAACATTGACATTGCCTCTAAAGCAGTGTTCCCAACCTAGACCAGTTTGAGAGCCACTGCACTAGAGGGAACCGCCGTAAATTGGATCACTTTCAGGGAGCAAACTTTCGAAACGACTTGGTTAAATTTTCAGGTGCTTGAGTAGTTTTTAGTATTAATCGTTGTGCAAGCTCAGGCATAATTTGAAACTTGCTAGTTTACTTGTATCTCTTCTTATCGAATGGTTAAAACGCTAAAAGAAATTCGAATGAGGATTTAATTAGCATTTCATTTAAAATAAAATGTCCTAGATTACACTTGAATGTGTTACACTTTAATATTATTACACGTTAATGAAGTAAATTTAATTGCAAAAAATTAAGTTTTCTCTTCTGCAAGAAGGTACTTCAACTTGATATCGTACAAATTATTCAAGGAGATTTATTTGTTTAATATATACTCAAAACAATATATGTGAGTATACAGTATATGTTTTATGACCTACATATGCCCAAATGTCACCGACATAAACTTAACTTGTTCCATAATTGATCGTAGAGTAATATAATTAATTCAGTTTGCTATATGATCTCAAAATTTATAAAGCTAACCTATATATTAAAATTTACCATCCTAAAATTCACGTGCAATAAGGATAATTCCAAGCTTGAAGGACAAGTCTTACGAAGAAAGATTGAATATTTTGAAGCTTCCAAGCTTTTGCTGCCGACGTCTGCGTGAGGACCTCATAGAAGTATACATTGTTTATACAAGGTCCCAGAAGGATTACTAGAATTTGAAACAAGAACCAACACCTGGGACCGCGGCTATAAACTAAAAACAACAGCATTTCTTCTCGCTTCGAGTCACCGAATTGTGAACATCCTCCCTCTTTACAGCGTTGACTCTCTGAGTATGAACGCGTTCAAGATCAGACTAAATAAAGCTATGGAGAAATATATGTTCGAACTTAAAATGCCTAGCACTATATCGAACCTGGTAGAAGTCAAATAGCTATTTCAAACTTTCGTCAGTTTTGAAAATATCCGGTTGATGAGCCTGTTTTCAGATATCAGGTCACGATAGTACAAGAATCGATGAACAGGTCGATCGATTCAGATGAACAGGACACGAAAAGTACAAGAATCGGCAACATGCCACATCAGGCCTATTCTTCAGAGCCGACATCGCTATGATATGATATGGTTTACAAGCCAAATATTTATGGTTTTAAATGGACATTTTGCATATATGTTTGGCAGCACTGAACAAAACCGCTGGCACGTCAGGCGTTGGTCCGAGTTTCGTGGGCCCTGTCAAAATTCAGAAGCAGCTGTCGGTCGCCTTTCGGTTGCCACTCTTGCCTTAGAGATGAATCACGTGAGAAATGGCGGCCTTCCCTATTCAGCTACTATAGGAAGCTACTTTGGCAGTTCCATGGTAAAAAATATAAGGGTCAAATGACACACGAAACCAGCCGCTGGTCAGGCCCACCATTGGCTTACCATGCTCAGCAGCAGGCATGAATTCTTAGTGCGAGCGCGACAACTCCTGCCTGGAGACGCTGACGCTGCATGTGCATTGTGCATGGGTACGAACTTATCAACACGCTAGCGTTTCAGCACTCCTGCATTGCGTTTACGCCGACATGCTTGCATTGCGTTATCTTCAACACGCTTGCATCGAGTGCGTGTTCCCCACGCGAGAGTTGCGTGATACTCAACACGCGTGCAATGCGTGTCTGCCAACGCTCGTGCTTAGCGTGTGAATAGAAAAAAACATGCGGGTATCGAGTTATCTTCAACACGCTTGCGTTACTTTTATGTCAATAGGGTTGCTATTAGTGCCCGCCAACACGCATTTTCAGCAGTGCCTACGCGAACCGCGTTATATTCGATACGCGATTTAACGCGAACATTTCTTTTCTGTTAACACGCTTGCGATGTGCGAATATGTACATTAACACGCGTGCATTGAGTTATCTTGAACACGCTCGTGTTACTTATGTCTACATATGAGCGTCGCGTTCCAGCAACACGCTTAAATTACATGTACACGCATGGCTTCAAAACCCACGCTTTCGAGGCAAGACTGATAAACAACCCCCATAATACTCCCTGTTCAAAGGTGGGTTTACCCACTTCCCCCGACGCTCTGGTGTCAGACTCTGTAGTTTCGTGGATTTTGTCTCGTGCGGACGATAATTAGACATGCTTCTCGTTTCTATCGTGTATCCTTAGTGTGAATTCAGATGCATGTGAATAGAAAACAATTAAGTTTCTAAAGACTGAACATGTTAATTTGGGAATCTTTAGAAACACAACTTCCTATGTGTTTACTGTCTGGCCGAAAGCTTAGATTCGTCAAGTCGATTGGCGTTGCGTGCTCAAGTAAAGTAGCGGCGCCTAGCAACCTTAAGGTGCCTGTACACAGGGATAGTATACTAGCCGCTAGTTCATCCGCCGCTTGAACTATCCACGCTACTATCCTCGTGTATAGGGGTTCAGCCGCTTCAGAGGCATGCGCCGGCAAGTGCCCGAGACGCGGCCGAGAGGGACAACGATGTGTTCATTTCTGCGCTGGAGAAGAGGCTAGTAGCGCTGATCTCGGCTGATGCAGCCATGGTGAGAGCATCTGTGCCGCTCTTGTGAAATATCATGGGTCATGTGGCTTGTTTGAACGATAATGGTTCTAAGAAGAACCCAACAAAGTGGAGTCCAGACGATATTCAATTGTTCGTTGGGATATTCTAAAAATATGAATTAATGTGGAATGTTCGCCATGCTGTTTACTCCAACAAAATGAAGAGAGAAACGAGTATTTTAGAAGTGATAGAAGACCTTATTAGTCAGGATTTAGTTGTTCCCGACCTTGCATTTTTAAGAGATAGAATAAAGAGTATAAAAACGACGTACAGACTCGAGTTGTTGAAGGTGATCCCTCGATCCATCTTCACAGACCTCACTCGCCGGCTGCTAACGACTCGCTGGCGGGCGCGAGCGAGAAGATAGCAGAACCTTATACTCTCCTCGTGTACAGGCTTACCAGCCGGATAGTCACCAAGCAACCGACACTTGCCAGATCTACTAGCCGTCTGCACTAGCCCCGTGTACAAGCACCTACCAACTGGTCGGTGGACAGCTTGCTGCTGAAGACACACGTTCCAACAGAGTTACAGAGCAAATTCGTAAGTAACTAAGCTGCACGGTTCCGTTATTGTGAACTCTATTCAAACTGAAATCAAACTATTGTTATGAATTGGATTAAAATTGAGCCTTGCATTAAAATTGAGTCGTGTAGTTGTAGATACAGTTGACTGTTGATGGGAATGATGTAGGAAAATTTTGGGTTTGAGGACTGATTGTTGCATGAAAATGCTTGGTAATGGTGTATAAGTGATAGAATAGAATAGAATAGAATAGAATAGAATAGAATAGAATAGAATAGAATAGAATGGAATGGAATGGAATAGAATAGAATAGAATAGAATAGAATAGATCCGTAATTTGCTAGGCATTTTAAGACTGAACATATGCTCCTGCATAGCTTCGTCTAGTCTGTTTTTGAAGATGTTTATACTCGGAGCTTCAACGGTGATGGTATTTTTGGTTCTTATTGTAAGTGCGAGAATGGTTTTACTGACTGGTGAATTAGAATAATTTTTTTGTACTTACCGAATGGATAATGTTTGGTAGTGATGAATGTCAGATAACTGGTACTGGTGAATATGACACTAATGAGAGAATGTTTGATACTGGTTAATGTGAGAGGATGTTTTGCGCGTGTATATTTTGAGAATTTTAGGTACACAGGATTGGGAAGAACTGCATTACCGCGAATAATTTAACTGCATTTTAGGTAATTCATACCTGGAAGCATGAATTAGCTTCTATATTGAATCTGCACTATGTTGAGATGGTTAGAATTAAGCTCTGTAGATACAATAGGCTACTTTTTGAAAATGTTTTGGGAGAATTTTGAGGACTAATTCAATTGATTATTGCGGGAAAATGCTAACAGTATATGTGAATATTTGGTGCTGGCGCATATGAGAGAAGGTTCAATACTGGTTAAGGTGAGATAGTGGTTTGCTCAGCCGTACGTGGAAAATGTTTGGTACCTCTACTACCGCAATGGGAAGGAGTGTTTAATACGGGCAAATGAGCCCGTATTGAGCGGTGTTGAATATTTTAGTATGTTGATCGTTGAGTGCTATTGCATATTGAATAATATTTTGTTTTTTCGCATCGTGTGAGAATGCTGATTGCTGGTGAATATAGAAGATTGTTTTGCTCGAGCAATGTGAGAGACTTTTGCATTCTGGTAAATATAAGAGAATGTTGTACAAACTGATATTATTCCCGTTTCAAACTCGTGCTTACTTGCCACTTGCTTCATTGCACCGCTGTGATACATACATATATAGCGATTCAAATGCCCCCTCCCTTCCCCCATAGAAGGGGGGAGGGAGAGGGCATATTTTATGGCACTTTTCAGATTTGGTCGTGTCTGTCCCGAACGAATCAGGTACGAAATACGCGCGCCTCGCACTCGCCCCGCGGTTGTCAAGGAATAAACCGGATCCTAATCAGGCGCTTATTTCCCTCGTACAACCAGTTGAACCAGAACCTAAAGCGGACATAGAGCCCCTAATTTACGCACTAGGCAAACTTGGGGCGCACCTGTTCCAGCGGCTGACAAGAATCAAAATTTTGAGAGGGTAAACGGTCTTTCAACCTAGTTGGGCTTCACCGCCTACATCTCCAAATTTGGATTAAATCTGACCTATAAAGAGCAGATAACTTCAGGAAATTAAACTTTCTTCACTTTGCTATCTTTGACCTGAAGACACTTCGAGCTCACCACCCTCAAACTCGTCAGCGAGCTCAAACTCGAAAGGCTACTTATTAACGCAAATAACACATGCTTATTTTCTGAATTTCAGGCAAGTCTGTTCAAAATTGTGGGAACTGGGAGCAGCTCGGTTTCGCAAAAGTAGCGTTTCTTCATTTATAATTAAAATTGAGGAGTCGTAAAAATCTGTAATAATGAAAATCGTGACGTATTGGTAATAATTAAATATATTCTAGATTTGATACAAAGCCGTTCAGATTTGAGGGACTTATGAGCTGTTCGGTGGCGCTAAAATTTTGTTTTGTGGGTGAGCTCGAATGTCGACACAGTGACCCCAAGCACTTAATTTTCATTAACAATCGCGGAGGTTATGACTTGCAAATGAGATCCTATAATTATTTGTGATACGTGCAAGGCGTCGGGCAATTGACCTGATTCAGATATTTTGAACTCGTCCTGACGGCGCATAACATGATTAGCTACCTGCCTTCAAAGTATCGCTGCCCAATTATTCCACTTCAAGCGCTATGCAACGAGTCTCCGTACTTAAAAATTCCAAGATCCGGGAACTTGATGAAATATGATGCTTGTCGCTTAGGTTCCTTTGTATGATTTCGTAGCAGACTTTTTAAAAGAAAGACTTTGTAACGGCTGGGTCCACAGCTAGCAGTAGCACGCAGCCAGCATTAATCGGTCCCTGGATCGGGGGCGGAATTTCCATCGAGGGGGATTGATGGAGCTTAGGTTTAGCTCGTCAGTTTCTTCGTTGGCTACTGTGGAGATGTTGACTCACGTGCAGCTGCTACGCAGATATTGTAGTACGTCGAGTAAAGAAAACTTGTTTGTAAGCAGAGCTGAAAACTCTGTAGGACACTTAGTAGGCAATAATTTCTTTATCAATCTTACGCAAATCTATGCAGAAGCCAAAAAATAACACTGAAAATGAAATTCAGAAAGTCAAGCCATCAGTTCACATGCCAATCGTGAATGGATCCTACCATTGTTACTAGTAAAACATCAACTGTAGAGAGAATGTAGACTCTTCTTTCTTGATCACGAATATAGCGATTTAAATTAATAATATTATTGCCATTATAATAGTAGATGTTCACGAAAAGTGACGAGTTTCACATTCACTTAGATCCCAATTTCTAGGCATGAAATGTACTAGTACGATAGATGAATTTTCATAGATTTCCTTCCACATCCCTTGTATCGCGCTGAACTTCTAATTGAAACTTGTCTTCATTGATGACTTTAAAGAATAGATTGAGTATCTTACGGTATCTATACAAACCCTCAATTTGAAATAAAATTTTTTACAACTGACACAGGTTTGGAATTTCGCTCGCCATTCTACGTTATAATCTTTCGAAAATGAACCAGTGCAATGGAATAGCATCCTCAATGTTGGTGATCTGCTTGGTGTTTCTAAATTTAGTCAGCATAGCGGTGTCAGCGTCTGCCCGTCCGTCTTCTGCATTGCAGCAATGTTCAGCACATAAAGAGCGGATGCGAAGAGCTCTCCCTGTGGACCATCCGCACATCAGGAAAAAGAGAACTATTCAGGTCCCGAAAGGCAGTTCATTTGAGGTAATGATTTCTAATTATTTCTATGTATGGATATATATGTCATTATTTTCTCTCGATAAAAACAATTAATTAACAATTTTTCAAAACGCAAATATGTCCTGATAATATAGTTAGGGCGTTAATTTGCGCTCATATTGTATTGCATACAATTTGTAACAAAAATATCCAAAGTGAAATCTGCTTAGAGCCTTTCAATAATAGGTTATTCACCTAATTATATAGAAATATAAACTCTATAATTGGATAATTTTCTATAATTTTGTGATGGGACTCTCTGTGTACAGTGCAAATGGGCTCTCAACATGCCGTTCGAAACGCAGCGTCGTTACACTGCCAGGTTTCAAGTGGCAATTCCCATCATCATCAATTTCCCGGCGATCTTTTTCGAGAGATATGGTCTCGAGAAACTCAAAGGCTTCGTGGAAGATGAAGATGAGGAAATTGAGAAAATTGACGCTCCCAAAAAGGTGATGTAAATTTGCTCATTTCAAGTACTATATGAAACACCGAAAACTGAAGTTTGCTGTGCTAACATACGTGACACATTTATCGTTATTAACGCTATAAAATATTAAGCTACTCAATAGAAATGAACGGAAACGAATATGATGGCTTTAAAAGTACTAATGGATTTTTACTGATAGCAGGACCAGGAGGCGAAGAACCATACTCCGGAGCAAGCGGACAATGAAGAGCCTTTGCCTGCCCACCACTACATCCACAAGCGAGACGCAGTGATCTCGAACTATTCAACAATTGTACAAGAAGAACGACTCTATTTTTATCGAATCATCGAAGGATTTCTTGATAAGTGAGTGAAACTTTAATGCGTTAAGATTCGCATTAAGACGAAATTTTGCTGCGCATGTCGCGACAAAAACATTGGAGCCTTCTCATAAGTTCTTGACTTGTTAAAAACAATAGTGACAGTATTTACGAAACGAAAATTATAAAGCTAGCTTCACTTTAATTGCTATATATTGGTTTTGGGACTGCAGGTTGGGACTGCCAGCGAAAGAATGCTTGCTGCGCACGGTGTGCGAAGTGGCAAGTGAGCCAATAGAGTATGGGCTTGCAGGAGATATATTCAACATGCTAATGAGGTGAGTTCAATTAGTTTACTGCATAATTATTTAACGTTTAGTGCGCCATTTATCATGTTCATAAAGTTGCTTGAATATAATCGTTCTTATCTAACTTGTTGTGGTTAGAATGCCCCACATTTAGGATATCTGAAGCCAAGCCATATCTTCTTTTCAGCCCTACAATGACATCATTGTTGGCATCCCAGGACGGTGGCTACGTGGACGAAATTCTTGCATACGTTCGGGCTGAGAAAGTCGGCCACATAACCGGTCGTTGCCACGACGAATACGAAGTTTGTCCTGTGTCCCTCTTTGACTTGTTGCCTTTGGTAGTTAATAACATATTCTCTTCAGTGTAAAGTTACTTAGAATTGCTTCTGCTTAATTGCATTTGCAATTCAACGTTGTTTAAGCTCTTTTAAAATCTTTCCCCAATTGATTGGTTCTGTTTTGGCCCATACTCGCTCTGTTGTGTTCTAGACAAACACTTTTTTGTGTTCTAGCCCGCACTTAATTGTTTTTGAGCCCGCAATCTGTAGTGTTGTGGCCCGCACGCTGTTGACTTCTTGCTCGCTCCGTATTCCAGTTCGCAAGATTCTGAATCACTTTGAGTACTTGGCTTGGTCAGAAAATTTCGCTTATCGCTGGAGTATATAGAGTGAACCTGAATCTGGTTGGTATGATTTTACATGCAGCTTACAAACGTAATACCTACCGATTGTATCACGAATTAGTGTCAAGAATTTCAAAGAAGCTCAATTAAATTATCAACCTCCTGATAGGCGTCGTGTATAGATCACAAAACAGTTCCTTTGATAACGATAAAGTACTAAACAGACTTTTACCGAACTTGACTTTCCGTAGGTCACACGCGTTGACCGTTGGTGATTTTAATCATCCAGAACTAGGCTGGACAGAAGGATCCTTTCCAAGGGATGGGAATCACCCAGCATCCTTGTTCATGGAGTCTGTGAGAGACCCCTTCCTAGTCCAGCACGTTACCAAGCCAACCAATTATAGAAGTAAACACACTCCCAATATTATAGACCTGGTGTTTACTAGTGATGAATCAATGTTAGATGAGCTTCGTTACGAGGCTCCATTGGGCAAAAGCCATCACCAATCATTGTTTTTCAGTCTTAAGTGCTGTACAGATAAGACGCCTAGAAAGCGTGAGCGTTTGAATTTTGCGAAAGGCGACTTTGATAAACTCCGTGCAGCAGTGAGTGCAGTGAACATTTCGAACTGTATTAAGGTCATGAATGTGGCTGAGTCATGGTCATTTCTCAAGGACACGGTTATGTCTGCAATTGATGCGTCTGTACCTAAAATTAAGCTTAGTGGAGTAAAAAACTCAGAGGATGAACAGTCCAGTTCTAGCTAAACTGAAAACCAACAAGGAAGTTACCAGCGTTATTTACAGACTCATAGCGATACTGAGAACATCCTGTACGCAAGAGTTCGAAATTAAGTAAAATTTTATTGTCGCTCCGCAGTAAAAACCTCGAAAAAATATTGCTAAAATTAAAAAAAAAGAGAATCCGAAAGCCTTTTTTTTGTACGCTAGCTCGAAGTGCGAGATAGAGGACGGTGTTTCTGATTTGAAAGTAGATCAACGAAAGATATCCTCTGATGAGGGCAAGGCTAACGTTCTTAATCAATTTTTTAGTAGCGTATACACTGAAGAGGACTTGAACAGTATTCCAGTTATTGAGGAAACGTGCATTCCGCTCTAAATTAACAAGTTTGAAATACCAGAAGAAGAGCTTCTCAAGCGCCTGATCGCTTTAAATCCAAACAAGTCATGTGGACCGGACGGCTTCCATCCCAGATTACTCAAAGAGTTAGCAAATGTCCTAGCAGGCGCTTCGACGTAATTTATTTCAAAAAACTTTGAACGAAGGGATCTTGCCGGCTGACTGGAAAGAAGCTCAAGTGACACCGTTGTTCAGAAACAGTGACAAAAGCTTCCCGGGCAACTATCGCCCTGCCAGTTTGACAAGTGTCTTTTGCAAAGTAATGGAATCTGTTGTAAGGGGTCTATTGATCGATCATTTGACTGCTAATAATCTCCTATCAGACTGTCAACATGGCGTTATTGCCGGTAGATCCTGCACCACCAACCTCTTGTCTACAATGAATGAAAGGACCCATCTGTTGGACGAAAGGGAGCCAGTAGATGCAGTGTACCTCGATTTTTCCAAGGCATTTGACAGTGTCTCACATGAGCGGCTGTTGCGTAAATTGAAGTCTTAGGGAATTGAGAGTAATATACTCGAATTGATCAGAGATTATCTAGAAGGAAGACGACAACGTGTTTGTATTAACGGAGCCGTATCAGACTGGGCTTCAGTGCGCAGCGGCGTGCCACAAAGAAGCGTTCTCAGGCCTGTTTTATTCATTGCGTTTATAAACGATCTGCCAGAAGCTGTGTCCAGCTTGTGCTCGATGTATGCTGACGATACAAAAGTTTCTAATACAGTGAAGAATACGTCACAAAAAGTACAGTTGCAATGTGATCTTGACAGGCTGGTTGACTGGGCTGATAAGTGGCAGCTGCGTTTTCTCGCTGACAAATGTAAAGTAATCTACCTATAGGCAAGAATAATGAACAGCATGATTACAGTATGAGAAGACACGGTTGCAACGACAGAGTGATGTCGAAGTCGACAATGGAAAAAGATTTGGGAGTTAGTGTCGACAATGAGTTGAAATATTCTAAGCATATTGAAGGTCAAGTTAATAAAGCCAATAAACGACTTGGACTGATCAGACGCTCCTTCGAGTTCCTAGATGCAGAAGCGATGAAGCAGTTCTTTGTTGCTGTCGTGCGCCCGAACCTAGAGTTTGGAAACGTCGTGTGGTCACCGAAATTTGAAAAGGACAAAAATTTAATAGAGAGTGTTCAAAGACGCGCAACAAGGATAGTTCTGGGATTTAGAGGCAAGCCTTATAAAAAAATTATATTTTATGAAGCTTCCAAGCCTCTGTTGTCAACCGGCGCGAGATAGCTCGACCTGAAGCGTTAGCAACTACGGCCACTGAACTAACTAACTAACTCTGTTATCAACGTCTGCGTGGTGACCTCATTGAAGTATACAAGTATACCCACGGTTTATACAAGTCCCAGAAGGATTACTAGAATATGAAACATGACCCAACACTAGGGGCCACGGCTATAAACATAAAAAACTGCTTTGTAACATACCAATGCGACAACATTTCTTCTCGCTTCGAGTCACCGACATGTGAAACAGCCTCCCTGATAGCATCGTTGTCGCTCCGAGTATGAACGCCTTCATGAATAGACTAGATGAAGCTATGCTGAAGCAAATGTTCAGTCTGCCCAGCACCTTACGGAACAGGTAATAAGTCCAGCAGCTATCTCAATCAATCGGCAATTATGGAAAAATTGGGTTTAAAAGGCCAGATCCCTTGTGAATCAAGTCACGTAAAGTACATGAATCGGTAACAGGCAAAGGGCCTATTTCTTCAATGCCGACACTTCCATTCTATTCTATTCTAACATTTCCACACATCTTTCAATTGCATGTTCAGAATGTTGCCGATTAAAATCATTGTTCTGTGTACAGTGCTGATGAAGGGAAAAAAATTTTAGTTCAAAACTGCTCTGTAAAGCTCTAAATCATTCCTATATGTGCTCATTATTGTGGTAGACATACTCTACCTTGATTTGATTTGCTTACCTAGTTTAATTAATTGCGTCTGATAACAGAAAATGAATATTTTTTGCATTTTTGTTGTGGCTTTTTGCGTGTGTATTTTTCTAATGTTTTCCCAATTTCTCCATGTTTTCGAGCAAGTTTTTCTTTGTTAACTATATCCCAAATAATATTAATTTTAATGCACCGTCTGCAGTACAATTTTTGAAGTATTAGTAGCAATCTTAAATCTCAAAAGAATGTGAAATATTTCATTCGTTTTGCATAACGATATTATCATCTTTGAAATCAGTTCTCTCACCATTTAATAGCTCAAGAAGTACATAATTTGTTGATAATTTGTTTGTTGTTACCGATAATTTACGTTGATTTTTATTTGCATCATGGCGGTTGATGATATAAATAGAGTAATGAGAGCAGAAGACAAATTGTTGTTTCCCTTCCACACATCACCGGAATATAATAAAATCACCTTAAAATCAGCTTACGTTTTCCTTTTTGTTAAACATTAAATTGACACTAATGTAGAACTTCTAATAACCCTTACCATGGGTTCACTTAGAACCATAAGCAAAGGGTAAAGTTATTTGATGTAAAGTTAAATGAAAATGCCGTGGGTGAAAAGATTCTGCTATGAAAAAATGTCAGCGACTCAGAATCGGTGCCGAAAGACTTAAATAAAAAATATTTGAAAAATCCTAACGATTTGGATCATGTGCGCAAAAAGCTCAATGATCAACTATAGAGAAATGTTAACGATTTGCTTTCGGGGCCGAAAATACTCAGCAGTGGTAAATATTTGGAGAAATGTTAGTAATTTGCTTTGGGCGACAAAAAGGCTTAATAGGAAAAAAATATATACGGACAACTTCTAACTTTTATTCAGCCACGGTAAAACTTAAAATAACGAATATTTGTAGAACAATCAATGCTTTACACTGGTTACCAGTTCCGTCAAGTTCGAAGAAACTGTTTTCACGAGAAAACATTTTTTCAGGTCAAGATAAAATTCATTATGAAACAGCTACGAATGTGTTTCTTTTAGTCTTACACTTATCAGTGTAAGACTTGAGGCTTTCCTCCTCTCCGCCGTCTACAATGCTACAACTACAATCAAATAAGCACCACCGTACCAAAATATGTTATGTTTCATACTAAATCAATCTTGCAAATTTACATTTTATTTAAAACACGCACAATATACATAGAAAAACATAAAAAACGATTGAATCGGATCTAAAATTGACCTGGCACTCTACACCAGAAAGATTTCATGTAACACAATTAATAATAATCGCCAGTCAATGGCATATAATTTGGAATTAGAGATACAACCATTATAAATATTTGAAAAAAACAGTCAATGGCTTAAACTGGCTGTCGAAAAGAATTTACAATGAAAAATAGTTGAAAAACAGTTAAAGTATTTACTGGGTGTTTTGAAAAATTCAAGCGATGAATATATGCTTCTCAGTAAGTGCATGACTTAGGTTTCATATTCAGTGTCCACACGGTAAAAGATAAATGCTATTTTAAAGGTTTCATATTCAGTGTCCACACGGTAAAAGATAAATGCTATTTTAATTGTAAGCTATCAATGATTATTTTATCAGTAACAGTTCAGGAAAGGGCTAAAAAGAAATTGAAATTTGGCGTGTCTAAAGATTCTCAGTGACCCAGTGAGTTTGGAACGGAAAATTTTAATTTTTTCTTAATGATGGAAAAATTATGTTTTCAATCCTGTAGTTAGTTGCTGCTAAACTAAAGATAAGAAACCGTTTTAATTAATTCTACTAAAAGAGGGATTGATGTATAATTGAATAAATTTGTCCGACTTGATTGTGGTCACAGAATACAAAATAGCGCTCCAAATTGACTGATGGAAATTTTGTTTTGATTGATGAAAAATTGACCGGTTTTGAAATAGAGACTTCTATGACAAGTGGATTTACGATCAGACCATCACTTGCTACTTCAAGCTAACGGTGTTGGATTCACTATTGAACATTAATCTCTTGAGTGTAGGTCTAAGAAACATCTAGGGTAAAAATGACGCAAAATCAGACAGAAACATTTTCCTTGAATTATAGAATGCATAGGTAAATACTAAGATGTAAAATAAATAATGATTTTATAAATAATAATAATAAAACGATCAATGACTTGTAAAAGCCTCACTGCAAGTAGACAAGAAACGAATGACGCTACTCCTCACATGGTTGTCGGTGATATATTAATATTCTGACGTGCTTGATGAGTAATATTGATTATGATCATTTCTTTAGTTCATTGTTTTCTTTAAATAATGACTCACAATAGACCCAATTTACACGGTTAATGTGCGCTATATTAACATTTGTGAATTGTGGTATCCCTAGGTTGTACTTCCATCGTAAGCTCAACTGTGCGACGATTATCAGCGAAAAATCAGCTCAACTGTGAGACGATAATCAGCGAAAAATATTTTGTTCACATACATTATGTATTATTTATATATGAAGTTGCTCCCTATAAACGGGACGACATCGAAGAGTGACTGGGGGCAGTTGCTGTACCGCACCGCGCACGAGTCTGTCTGTGTGCCGTGGTACTCTGCCGTCAGGTACTCATCATACTCGTCTCCTGTGCTGTACGTAGTGCTTCGTGATGGCCTGCACGGTCAATAGATTACATTACTTATAATTTTTTAATGGTAATCATTGCAAAAAACGATTTCTTAAAATTGGGCCTCATGGACAACTTCAATCTTAAAACGTTGCTGTCTATCAGACTCAAACCACACATAGAAGCATGCATGTTTGTCGAGCAGTAAATGTTCGATAATCTCCCGTATTTGTACTAATTAATGAAATTGAATTATTAATTATTACTTGAGTATGGCGGTGACCAGCTTGCCCAGAAGGTCGTCCTGCAGCGGCGTCTCCGCGACCTCGCAGATGGTGCGCAGCAGACACGCCCGCGCCGGCAGACTCGCCCTGCGCATGCGTGCATTAATTGTCGCGCTCCACAGAGACTTGGAGCATCAATTTTACAGCGATATTTACAGATGGAAGCCTAAATAATTCTTTTTGGCACTGAGATATATGATTTATTCCTTAAACTACTGAATAGGCAGTAGCAGTACAATCCACTCGTACCCAGACAGGAACCCGAATCACCAAAAACTTCTATTTGCAAAATCAGCTTATCATAGCGAAATTTAGATTTTAACCACTTTTTGTGGTATACTGTTTTCGTACAGGACCATGCAAATTTCAATTCAATACTCATTTTTCCAGGCGAGCCTCATGCCAACATATACTTTTCTTTGGCCATGCTTACTTTATCAAGAAATTTTCTAGCATATTGTACACAGCACGCCTTTCTTCAATCGCCTCTCTCTTTTTTCTGTGCAAAATTTCATCTTTTCGGTCTTCTCCTTCTTCTGCTATTCCGTGTCCCGTGTCAATAAGATCGGGACGCTTCAGTAATGGTCTGTAAATCTCAGGGACAAGTTCTCGGTACGGAAATTTTTCTTGCTTATGGACAAATTCTCGGGCGTAGGGAGCGTCGATCAAGATGGCGAACTGGACATCCAAGAAAAAGCGGGCAAAGGTGTCGACTGGGACATCGATATTCCACTTGAACTGGAAGAAGAAGAAATATAAAAATAACAACTATTATTATTGTGACAACAGCTGTGAAAATTTCAATAATTAAATATACTGGTAGTTTCTAAAAGGTTAGGATCTTCCGTTCATAATTTTTTCTAAAATATTCAAACAAATATTCACAACATGTGTCTAAATACGTGAAATAAATTCGATTAATACGGAATGTTCATTGAAAGCAGTTTTACCAGTGAAAAAACATATCCCTCTGACATTAAATGCACACCACAATTGAAATAATATCGGAATTAACAACAGGGCAAATAAGTCAAGACACATAAATTCAATATAATATAGACCATTAACTTATTTCAACATGTCAACAAATGGTCTCACCTGCATGTTTATTCCTTTTGGCAGCTCTAGAGGAAAAAGCAATTCCCGTTTTTTCCTGGAGTTGGCAATAAGTTGACTGCGTCTCGATGGGTCCAGGAGACATAGAAAAAATTTACCTTCGTCGTCCATGTTGGCCTTGAGTTGTTTCGAGGATCTCAGGGCAAGAGCTTCTAAATTAGCAGTCACTTGAAGGCTTAGAAAAATAATGCATATGCTCACCATAAATAGTAGCTTTAGTTGCATCCATGAAGCCATTTTGCCTTAAAATTATAATCTATGATAGTAATAGAAATTTTTTATCAATGAAAAAATTAATCATAACAGTTGACAAGAAAAATTGGCGTTTAAATTTGCTGCCATGAGTGACGTAGGCAAAAGAATTACAAGTAAAACCATATACCTACTAAATTCACGTTCACTGGTTCCCGCCGCAAGTAAAGACATGGTGCAAAATCTCAAACAATTTTCGAACTTATATCTAAGGGCTTAAGTCACCCTATAGTGATGTCAAATACATTCATGTGCTGAAAATTGTTTGATTTATTAGCTCCTAAAAAAGTGAAAATTTTTCTGTAAAAAGTGAAATGAAGGCAATAATTTATTCTTATAAATACAATAATACATGAAATAATTTAAATGCAAATCAAATACACAACCAGAGCGAATACACAACAAACAAACAATAGCGGACTCTGAGACTAAGATGCGGTACGTTGAGCCTCCAGAAGACAAGTGACTTGTCTCTCAGTAGGTGTTACGTCATCACTTGACCTGAGAAGAAGAGTACCCACAAAGAGGTCGAGCCAGCCTCCTGGCGCCGCCCACTGATCTCTCTATATTATTGCATCCCAATTAATTCAGGATGAACTGTTTTTGTGATTCTGGGATAACAGATTCAGCGCATGCACTGTAGTAAGAAATTAAGTTCAATTAGAGGTACATGACCGATATATTTAGCAGGAATTCGGGAGATATCACTGAGGTTTTTAGGACAGACACGTTTTTTTACGAATCCGTTATCTATACCATCTGCCTTTATAAACAATAGAAGGCTCGCCTGGCGTTCTCCAACAGATGATATTGTCATCAATTGCACTCAGGATGATTTGTCTTCACTTAAAAATTTTATTTTAGTCTGTATTTCTGAAACGTTGCTGTTTTCAATTTTTAACTTCACAAAACATTGCTCAGACAAACCTGAGCACTAGTTATAAATAAAATATCTACGATTCTACAGATCCTGGCAGATTCTAGTTCTGATAAAGAAGCACTAGAATTTTTTTAACTGGTGTGAAAATCATCACAGTATTGATTACGTTTTATCAGCATTAGCAACTAATCTATTCTCTGCATCTCTCCATCTCCCGTTTAGCGCCAAATATTCAAATCAAGGGTATTACAAATGACTTGGTAATTAAAATTGTATTTAATGTACTCTTATCACATTATTATGGGGAATATATATTCAAAACAGTAGCATCTACAGCGAAGGCAGCATGTGCTTAGTGAAGGTGATTCAGTTTGATTTGCTTACAGATTTGTTCAGTCAGTGAGCTTCAGTTGCCTACATACCATTTGCTATATATGGTAACCTGATATAAATATATCTTATGCCATGCCCAAGACATGACCACTAGATATGAAAGAATCTAGTATCGTATACAATATTAGATTATAGTATAATATAATATTGATACACTAGATATTAATATATCCAAAATCGTGCGCAATATATAAGGACAATAAAAATAAATATAACGAATACCGTTGTAAAAATTATTACTCTAGATACAAATTTGTCTAATTAGCTTAATACATTAATAATAGCTTGCCTTGCTCGCTGCCAACTGTCCTGCACATGAGAAATCTTCTAATTAGTTAATTTATTGAATAATTCCCATTTATTTGAATGTCCCATAATTAAAATTATGGAGAATTATCGAAAAAACCTAAACGAAGTTTTTAAATATAAACGAGAAATCTTCAAATTTTGATGATATATCATTTATCATCACCTGCAGATGTTACATTTTTTCCAGTAGGTAATGTATGATAAACAGATTGAGTTTCTTAGTTCATTTTCTTTTTTAAAGATCCTCATTCAATGAGTGACCATTTATTGGCTTGTGAAGGACCAGCGATGCCTCACCCATTGGCTCGTTTCTGTGGTCCACGCAAAACAATTCGCGCCTCTGTACTCATAAATTGATGCGTCGTGTATTTTATACAGCAATTTAACCCGAGCAATTTTGCAAAAATCCTTGCAAACCAAGAGCTCCCTATAGTCATGATGTTGAACTTAATTCCATGGTGAAATGAGAACTCTAATTCGTAGTTTTCATTGCTGCGAGTAAACTTTCATGCGTGGAATAAATGGATAAAAAATTGGTTCCTGAACTCTTGAGGATTGCAATTAACGAGTAAATTAATCTAGTGTCGCCATTATTTCTTGATGCCCTAGCCTAATCATTCTTCTTCGAAACCTATATTTCTCAAAGCTTAAATGCTTGATATACGTGCTACATTAATTGGATAGTGACGTTGAGTGAGAGAAACATTAAGAGGAGTAATAAAATCATAAATAATAGAAGGATGCTCAAGTCGCCACCGTATATATGCCACCGTCCTCCAATTGAAAATATTTATTCTGCTCAATACTGCAAACTGAATTGTGACAGAGCTTTCGAATTAGTTCTAGATAACGGTGAAACTTTTATGTGGCATTAGAACAGTTCGAATCCTGTTTTTTTACCAGCATTGTACGGGTTTTATTGCTGACCGGCGAGTCAAGTGTAATATATGTTGAGTGGTCATTGCCGGGTTAGCTTACGTGAACTGAATACTTTGAGGCATTTAATTCTCCCCAGACGATCTGATTTATTAACATAATATGTTCAGTGTTAGCCGGTGCAGAATACAAGAATTAAAAATTATTATCTATATGTGTAATTAAGGACAATTTTTATTCTGTCTGTCAGTGAGTTTGGTATGTATTTAGAAACATTTTTGTCGTATCCGTGCATGTATTCAGTAAAAATTTACATCCTAATATCTAAGTGCATTTTTTTATGATGCAAGGGGGCCCTACTTAACAGTGCGGACCCATGGACCACATACAGTGACGAAGGGCCCTACATAACAGTTCTCTGGCCCGCGGACCACATATAGTGACAGGGGCCCTACATAACACTTCCCTGGACCGCGGACCACATATAGTGACAGGGGCCCTACATAACACTTCCCTGGACCGCGGACCACATATAGTGACAGGGGCCCTACATAACACTTCCCTGGACCGCGGACCACATATAGTGACAGGGGCCCTACATAACACTTCCCTGGACCGCGGACCACATATAGTGACAGGGGCCCTACATAACACTTCCCTGGACCGCGGACCACATATAGTGACAGGGGCCCTACATAACACTTCCCTGGACCGCGGACCACATATAGTGACAGGGGCCCTACATAACACTTCCCTGGACCGCGGACCACATTATAGTGACAGGGGCCCTACATAACAGTTCTCTGGCCCACGGACCACATACAGTGGCAAGGGTCCTACACAATAGTCCTCTGGCCCACGGACCACATACAGCGGCAGGGGCCCTACACAATAGTCCTCTGGCCCGCGGACCACATACAGTGGCATGGAGCCGGCCCTTCATGACAATTCTCTAGCCCGCGTCCTGTTACGCTTAGTCGGGCTAATAGCAAAATAATCACTTTCCATTTCTGCAGCATGTAGCATTGCCGCTCTAAATTTGTTGTTAATGTTGATTGCGGCTAAAAAAAGTGTGTGGTCCTCTTTAAGTTACATGATAATAATTAGGGATAGTATCGTAGTGTCATTGTAGAAAAGCATGCACATAAATTATTTGTTGTATGAAAAGAGTTTTAATTAAGAAATCAGAAAACAGCTGCCTTGCAACTCATTATTCTGTTTTATCTTTTAAACATTAGTTCGCGATGAAGCTGAGAAATTTATCTATACAATTAAATAATGTGTTTCAGTTCTCTCGACTAGTTCTAAATACTGTCGAGAAAATAACTCAAGACTGAATAAAAAATGTTAAAGTTCTTAAGTTTCCGAGGAATAAAAATTAGACAAGCTTTTACGAAAACGGTTTCTGTCCCATTGAAGTACTTGCGGTTAGCCTTCCACTTATACAAGAATCACTGGAACGACTGCAGAGAGAAAAGGAAATGCCCCCTTCATGCTTCACCCTCTTAGGATAATGAAATGAAATATTTATTCAACATAGAAATAATTTGCTTTATTTTCACTTGTATAAAATAAAAATAATAACTGTGCTAGTTAGTGAGGAAGTTAACTTTAAGATTTTAAAGAATTTCTACCCTAAGTTGAGAAATATCGCCTTCGCTTAATATAACCCTGCAAGCGTCAAGTCCCTTCTATTTTGTCCAGTCATTCTCAACTTGAATTTTTTTTTATACTTAGGACCCTCAATAATGCTGTTATGAGCATTTTATGAATAGTGGTATAAATTTATCTTCTGAGTCGAACTGTACTCGGTCTGGCAGATTTATTTGTTTGCTGCTAGAGTGTAGGTGCCGCGTTTGCTTTGCTGCCTTATACGCCTGTTCGGCAGCCATAGATTTACATATGTCACTTTTCGCTTACACTACTCAAATAACTATTACATGACGCTTTCTAAACCTGCATTTGTTCACAAGGAAAATAATTCCTCTTTCTGTCTCTTGTGATCATACTGAATTCCTTTTGTATGAAAATTTTTTTTGTATTATTTGTATACGAAGTTGCTTTCTATATACGGGATGACATCGAAGAGTGACTGGGGGCAGTTGCTGTACCGCACCGCGCACGAGTCTGTCTGTGTGCCGTGGTACTCTGCCGTCAGGTACTCATCATACTAGAAATTGAATTATTAATTATTACTTGAGTATGGCGGTGACCAGCTTGCCCAGAAGGTCGTCCTGCAGCGGCGTCTCCGCGACCTCGCAGATGGTGCGCAGCAGACACGCCCGCGCCGGCAGACTCGCCCTGCGCATGCGTGCATTAATTGTTGCGCTCCACAGCGACATGAAGCAACAACTTAACTGCATTGTATTTGAAAAATTATGATTTTACATTGAAAGGTCTGATTCACTCCATGAACAAATGAATCGGCCGTTGCAACCCGCCTAGCTGAAATGAAATGATTTTTGCGTAAGAATTCGAGCTGAAGTTTTAATGGCTTGCTAAGTTATGTTATTGTGCTTGTTAGACTTTTCTTGGTGAATACATAATTAACCAGATTTGTATACGACTTGAAGTAACTTATTTGACTAGAAATAACGGAATTATCTGAAGCTAAGGTTAAATATGCACATTAAGTGGGGTCTGTCATTTACTTGAACGTTTCGTTTATTCATGAGTGAATTACCGGCTTTCAAAAGTTCTTAAACCCAACACATTTATGTTGAGATATGATTCTCTTAAAAAACATCGTCAATTTCAGCGTGGATTAATTTTTAGAACTCAATGCGTGAAGATCTGCTACAGTATCTCATAGAGTGAAACTTCTATTAAAATAATATCACACTAAAACTATTCGTTGAAATCAGGATGACTTGAAAATTGTTTTGCATTCATCATAGAAAGTAATAGTGAATTTATTCTCTGGTCAGTCACGATAAACGAATGGTTGAATTTTCTCTTACTTAATACCGCTGCTAACTTCCACACTACTCAATGAACTTCCCTAAAACTTTCCACTGACTTCCGTTGAAGGAAATTGTAAAATATTTCACAAATTTCCTAACGCATTTCCAATTCTAAAGATCACACTCTTCAGTAAGTCGTTTCAATCCCCAACGTATTACAACACCAATTTTTCAAACAATGACTCACCCATCTATGTATTTCTCCAGCACCCTGTAAATTGCATGTCTCTCTCCTTTGGTTGCCCTTTTCTTCCTGTGCAAAATGTGATCCTGTCTTTTTTCCGCGTCTTCTTTACCAAACCCTGTATCTATTAGGTTTGGGCGCTTCAACAATGGTCTGTAAATACTAGGAACAATTTCACGAAAAGGAATTCCTTTATTTCTGTGAATAAATTCTCGAGGATATTGATGGTCAAGCAGAAGTGCGAACTGCAGGTCCAAGCCGAAGCGAGTGAACGTGTCGACAGGGACCTGGATAAACCACTTGACCTGAAAATATAATATAGATAAATGAATAGGTAGGAAAACTCGTTACGTAAAATTTTACGTGAAAAGAGCTTCAAGTGAATGGAACAAATATTTTGAACGATTATACTAGAAATGTTATAAAAATACTGCTTAATATATAAACGAAAATTTTTCTGAAAACTGTTTCGAATAATTATTTATTGATGAATATCATATTTTTTTTCTCACCTCAAAGAAAAGTCCAGGCGGCAACTCCAGTGGGAAGAAAAATCGCTTTTGTCGGGACTTTGCGGGGGATTTTAGACTTGCCGATGAATCCACAAGCACCTTGAGCCATTGTGGTCCATCGCCCATATTCATTTTTAAATCTTCAGCTGAGTTTAAAGCGATGTCTTCCAAGCTGGCGGTCACTTCAGTGCTTCGTAAAAATATCGAGGCGATGGTTCCAAGAACTAGATGTAGCCTTACATATAGCTCCATTATTTTCAAATTGTACAATTATAGAAAATGTATTCGTCTTTGAAAAAGTATATTTTTATTGATCAATGTGTTCATGAGACACGTTTTGCCAAGGAAGGTTATTGTCGCTTTCCTCACATCTTTCATTTTCCTGGTACACTGTACATGCGAGAACCGTGAAATTGTGCGCGGTTCTTAGAATATTTTCCAGCCAATTACAAAATCAGGCTTCGAAGTTAACTTATTATACACTAATAATTAATTTACAAGTTTCCCAGAATACTTATTGACAGGTAAACAGATATGATACCTAAATCAATATAAGTAGATAGAAGAAAATCTTCGATTCAAAGCGTCGAAGATTTGATCCAGTATGAACAGATATGAAAATAGACTCAGTGAGGAACTAAACTCGAAGCGTCTCAGGCTGGACAGAGACCTTGAGTTCTCGGAGCAGCTGTGATGCGTGCACCGACCTGGCGGCTTGAGCAAGGGACCCGCTCTAAGGTTGGCTCAATCTTCTTCAAGCTCCGCCCGCTGTATTCGTCACATGTTCATCCTCGTGCTGCGCCGAGATTTCGAGTGTTTCCGTTACGTATTGCTCGAAAGCTTTTGATTTCAATTATCATTTCATTGATTCCTATTTGTTATCTTGGAGAGTTGATTTTTAAATTCTAATTTTTAGTGAGCATCTAAAAATGAGTTGATTTCCGGAATCTTTCATATCGATTCCTGCCACAAATATTCTTTGTGTCGTAATTAGGATAAAATGTATTTATAGTCATTGATATGTTTGAATTGACATTCGACCAATACGAGTAAACTAATTGTCTGTGCTGCCAAAACTTCGCAGGACATCGAACCAATACATTTTCATACTTGAGTTACCGTTAGCAGAAGTTTTAAAAATCATGTCAGGAAGCTGAAGAATGAAGACTAGACAATGACGTTGGTAGATCTGACTCTGATATGCAATGCTACCAACGAGTAACCCAGTTTTCAGGCAACTTGTTAGTACAATCACATGCGAGAAGATATGGCGCGTGAGAAGAATTCTCTGTCATGACATTTTGGTATAATCGCTGTAGGCAATTGTTAAAAAACTTTTTCGATCGTTCTTCACGTAGACCATTTTGAAATTTTTACTTCATACCCGGTACGTTTGACTAAGTTAAAATAAATTTAAATTACCTTGTGCGCGCTGTTTGTGTTTGATGAATTGAACATTAGTATTAGTATAAGTGAGCGTGAAGTCAATGTCGTAAAGCACACAATGCCCAGTCAGTTCTCAAATGATATCGGATGCCTCTTCAGTAAAAGATAAACAGTGCGTCCAAAAACACAATAAACTTCCGACAATGCAACCTGCACAAAATCCTCATTCCACACGCTCACATCACATGTGAGTTACACAGGAAGACTGAACTCCCGTTCTCGACATAAACAGATTTTTGCAACCATCTCGAAATTTAATAAATAAAAGTTTTAGAGAAGAGAATATACATTTAAATTACTCACGATTGCCGGGTTTCACTTGCTAGACATCTCGGCGCCCCACAACTTCAGCCACAAGAGGCAACTTTACACATGAAAGTTTTTTAAACTTTATCACCTCACACGAGGGAGGTAATACATTATTTTTTCGGTTAAACAAAGTTATTTAATTTACATAATTACGATAAGATTTATATATATATATATATGGAAGATGATCACGTTTCATATTTACCATGCATGTCCTGAATCTAACATTCGAGCTAAATCACGTTAAAATTTCACTTGTATTATGAGGTGACCTAAATAGAAGAGGATTAACACAGTTCAGCAGCATTGATCGACAGTAAATAAATTCTGTAACAACGAACTAGAGAGAACCGGACACAATCCGTGGGTCCGCAAGAGAGCTGAAGCATTTATGGCATGAACAATTTTTAAAATCGGATGATCAGTAGAATTCAGCTAAAGGCTTCTGTCCTATTGAGTTTCAAATGATGGAATTAATTGGAATAATAAATAAATGATGGCATAATAATTGGAATTAAAACTGTCAATACTGGATGTATATAAATATAATTTTTGAATGCATAAACCTACTTATGTAACAGAGGATCGAATGTATTTTAGCCCTACGTATTGAGTATTTAAAAACGAAATTCCTGAATTCTAAATCCTTATTAATTAACAAAATGCAGAAGTATTTATACCTTAAATACTGAATGCAAGAAAAAATAATTTCTAAATGATTCAACCTTATTAAGTGCCAAATGATAGAATGTATTTTAATATAAATACCGAACGTGGAGAAACATTCCATTGAATGCCTTTATTAATAGATAAATAGATATTTAAACCATGATCTATCGATAGTCGCAATTATGTATGGCCGATTTATTTATATTTTAATCTTGGTCTGCTCCAACCAATGATTTAGACTTAAAATTGCCGCAAAAAACTCCGACAGTCGAGCTGATCATGCAAATCGAAATTCAATAAAGCGGAAGTTCGAAATTCCCTTCTGGCCAAGCCCATGGGGAGACCTTTTGTAGGCTGATGGTGTCTGTCAAAAAATTATCGCTCCACACATGGCGGTGGCATTTTTAGCACCATATGAACGTCTGCGAAATGGGATCTGTATTTTCACGGGAAAAAGAAGTCAGAGAGCTGCACTGTCGGACTCCAGAAAAAATCGTTTTCTCCGTTTACTTCTTGAAAATCTGAATTTGACGGTTTTTTGGTTGGGGTTAGAGACCGACATATTTACTATAGCTACGTTTTTCCGCCAGGGCAAGAATTGTAACTTATGATAAAAGTTTAGGAGTTAACTTGTTACTGATATTACAGTCTAACTGTAAGAGAAACGTTTCGGTTGAAACTTAGATAACCGGGCCGATATGGCCTCAGGCATAATTGGGTTAGCAACACGACTGAAACTCTATAGTCGAATCGATAACATGTGAAACCCTTTATCATCATAAGACGATTGGTTCTAAAATGGATATTCTGGTCCAGTAGCTTTCGGCCAACCTGAGTCAGCATGTGACCATTCATAATATGGCCATTAATCTTGTTGAGCAACAGTGACACAATTTGAATTAAGACGCCGACAACGATACATGTTATGCTAAAACTCAACCCTTTAATTCTTCGACACTACCTAACACGCCCGATACCAAACTGTGTATGATATGTTAAAACTCGAACCTTCTATTCTGTTCATCACAATTGAAAGAGCTGCATGCTCTAACTGGGCAGCAGCAGCCACAGAACCGCGCTACTTAATTTACGAGAATTGAGAGATTTTAATGCTCAAAACGTCGTTATTATCAAAGGAGCTTATATTACCGTCATTGTTATTGATAGTTTTATAACTCGACATTAATGATTTTTAATATCAATTCATTATCCATTTTTATATTGATTTATCAAAATCTCAAAATCATATAACCCCAAAACAATATTTTAGCCATATGTGAAATAATTTAAAATAGTATGGGTTCAAAAAGTTACTTCTCTGGGGCTGTTTTGACCAGCCAGTGATATAGTTATTAGGCTTTTTTTATTAAGACGGTTATATTTTTTCTGTATAAGAATAAATAATTTTTTCCGATGCATTTCTCAACTTGATAACCGCAAGTCTAATTCCAATAACTACACAAAAAGGAATCCATTCTGTCACGGCTGTTGATTGATTAATTTTTTTCCATATATATGAACAAATTTTTAGCAAAAAGACTTAGTTGAATGAGGTTATATTCATACTGGCCAGAATGCTTTGTGGCCGCAGTTTTTATGAATCAGTAGTTTGATCTGCAATTTTTACTGGAATTTGTAAAACGAAAAGTTCACTTCAGCTAGAGTAATAGACTATAGAATTCTTCTCTAGGCCTCATGCCGATACATGACTACCCTGAGGAACCCTGCGATTAGATTATTTTAATTAATCTCTGAGTTCTTATTATTCATTATTATCTTGGTTCATATGCTATTATTATTGTACGTTTTCCCTTTATATTTATAATTTTTTTGTTGCTTTCTATAAACCGTATTTCATGGAAAAGTAGTTTCTTATCCTCAGATGACTGTACGTCTGCTAATACAAGTTCCCGAAAAGGCAAGAATACCAGTAAATCTTTAAGGGGAGCGTCTACCCCAAAAATTATCTCGGCTATTTACAGACGGATCACTTTGAAACTTGGTACACATATGTCAAATCAAAAAATAGACAGCTTTTATTCGTGTCAATTTTTCGAAAAAAATAAAAGAAAACGTGAAATTCTTAGAAAACGGCCAAAAAAGGGGGTAAATCAACGTACAGATATGGCAGTGGTACCGTTGGATAGGGCAGAATGTCAGCTTTAAAATGAGTATAAAAACCGAAAAAGTGAAAATTTTCAATTTTAGGGTAGACGCTCCCCTTAAACATGATTCTTGAGAAATACTTCCAATTCAATTGCACCGTTACTAATTCTAAAACGTACCACAGAGCTCAATTATTCCCGCGGCTGTTGTGACCGTACAGCATATGGCTGGCAGGGAGCAGCTGGTCTGAGTCTAGAACTGTTCTATTTGTCTTAGGAAACCTGTGATGGCTTTGGCGTTACCTTAAACGCCCTCCAGATCGATGTGCTATTGCAAAGCCGGGCGTTCGAGAGTTGCTATTGCCTAATACAATTGCTGGGTGCGAGTGCTGGTCAAACGAATGTGATGCCATAGCAGTGTTGCGTGTAAAGGCTGTGCACAGTATGTAATATTAGCAATGACTATCCCAAAACAAATATCCTGAGCTAGAATCTGCAACTGGTTGAATGTGTGTTGTTTTTAAACACAGTGGAATGCTGAAAAAGTGCAAACAAACATAGAATTTTTCTAGAGCACTCCAAGGTTAAATTCATTTTTACCAAACTTTGGTGAAACGTTTAACTTGATCAAATCTGTATATATCAATATTTAAAACAATTTCTTCGGTCATTGATCGTTTTTTATTAATTTTTAGAATATTTCACGCTAAAAAATAATTTTCCATTTTACCTTTCACTCCCGGGTTAAGGCACTAGCTTTCCTCTGATTTCCCTCTGTCGGGGTCGAGGGGATCTTTCTGTTGGGGTCTCCCCTCGAGGTCGAGGAGCGGACGCTTGGCATTCGCGTGTGCGGCGTCAAGCGGTCAGCACGTGTCACCTCCGGCCTCGAGCAGCCCCAGACTCGCGCGGAGCTTGAGTTGGCGGCCGCGTTTAATGAATACAAATATTATTCAGTTCATCAGGTATTTTTCTTTAAAATTTTATGTGGTGAAATAAAAATTATGAACTATCGCCAGAATTATTAAACGTTGCGAAGAATACGTTAGCTAAAAATCCAGACTCTAGAAATTTTTCAAAAGGGTCTTAATGCGTTGTCTAAAACAGAGCTAATTTATAAGAGCCGATCCCATACAATGGACAATGTCTTTTTCCAGACTTCAATGAAATTCTAGG